TGTTTAGCGTAAAAATGGTCCAGGCGGTTTATTATAGCACCAGGTTAGAAGAAACTCTCTGATCGTGAGACTTTTATCGATTTCCATTGATGTTAATCATGAATCAAATTGAACGAAACTAAGTGAAGGTCAACGGATAAACGGTATTACACGGCCACTCAGCGTACTACAGAGCGGATACAAACAAACATCCAACGCAAGCAGAAGTCACTCAGCAGAATAATGAACAATTGTCTACTTCTTTAAAGAAAGACGGTATTAACAGCCCTTTTTAAGTTAAAAAGTAGGGAGCGAGGGCGGTCAGTTTTTGTCATGAGTTTGCATCAAGATGACTTGAAAAATAGAAACAAAACCATAGTTCACCGCACACGCTCCGCATATCCTGTCACACGGAGCTGATGAAAAAATTAGGGTTATTTTCATATTTCGTCTAAACTGACCTATACAGCATGTTACAAATAACAACACGGAACTAACACAACAGTTGGGATACGAACTAATCCAATGGTCAGTCAAAACAGGCGGTAAAGATGTTTGAAGTGCAGTAAAGTGTGGTTGAATGAAACAATTTCCACAGTTGGTTTTCATGTCACCCAGTGCACTTTGGTTATGCCCAACAGTGCGATTCACACACAAGACTTTATGAGTAAATGCGTCTTCTTCTAACAATAATATCTTGATGGGTTCAGTCACAGTAAGCTCTTGGTGCGTTTGGGAAGTAGCCCCACGGTTACAGAGTTGAACGTATCTTTCGAATTAAAGCACCAGCCTACACGGGAAATAGTTTGAGCTTGTAAAGTTGCACATCTACAGTGCATAATTACTTTAGTGTGATACGCTAGCTGCCATGATTCTCGTTCGAAAAAAACTCTGATATGGTAGAATTTTTTTTAATGTCAAGTTAACTTGCCGAGAAGTTGAGTAACACTGTTAAGCGCTACAATTCTCATTGACCTCTGGGCAGAAGCAAAGGTCACGTTGTACGAAATTCAGCTACATAAAAATGAGTGGCCTTTTTTTCAGAATATGTACTCTCCAAGTTGGGAGCAATCGTCCTCTGAAAAATGACGGTATAAGCCTTTCTCAGGTCTCAGGAGATACGTATAACCCGTGGTTACAGATAAAGATGAAACAATGCTACAGTGCCCAACAGATTCTTGGATTAGTTTGACTAACCGAGCGGATTGGCAAAACACCCAATAACAGAAAAATCGCAAAATTATATGGACATTTCTCAACGGTAAAACTATATACGCCTTGTGTAATGCAGTACTCATGAGGTTACTGAAAATCCGTCGGCCTTATGAGTAGTGCATCACAAATATATACATGTATCGCGATATCTCGAATATTGAAGCGACTGAAACTTGAGGCGGCCTGGTTCAGCACATCCCGTTGCCCGGAAACATCACGAACGAGAGATTCAGCAGGTGAGTCTCTCGAAAAACCAATTTCGTTAGCAAATTAGTGTATATTTGCTATACACACCTTTAGGTTGAGTCTACGACTGTGGGGTAACTCGCCCTAAAGGGTACATTGTTAGGGAAGACCAAACGCATAATTATTCATTGGGTGTCTGATAACAAGCTATTGCTAGACATCAATGGTTGAAATACCGTTTTACAACGCTAGCTTGATTGTGCATGTCACCAATCTGAAATGATGTAGCCGAACGATTTCAGAAGCAGAAAATTGTTTAGGGAAATGAATGCTTATCTTAGAAACCCGTGGTTCGCTTACAAAATTTGACGTTTGAAACCGACAAATTGGTCGGAGTTAAAGTCTTCAAGCTGATACATCAGCATTTGTTGCTTGAGATGGCAACTAAGTGACCACTGAGGAAATGATGTAAGACGATCCGTAACAATAGCAATACAAATTGTATCTGATTCGTTCAGTTGCATTTCAGCTCCCCTTCAGCAACTTGGGACCGCTGTGCAAACAGCCGATGCTCATTCCTTCAAGTGCGTGAATAGATTAACACAACCGAAACACAATACCTATGAACGGGTAATCTTAGTACCAACAATTTGAAGCCAAAGTAAACAATCCATTACATTATTAGGTGCTCTGTGATATTTACTCATAATAAATTGGGAGAAACTCTCGGGCATAACTATGAGAGGGTGATTCTGGTAACTTAAATAACCCGTCCGCCTGAATCATGGCAAAAATTAGAGAAAATGTGTGCCGTATGTGAAAACGAGAAAAAATCAAGGAAATTCAGGCAACCCGATGAATTGTGGATAAATAAGCGCCAAAGGTTTACTGAACAGTGATAATTGGAAGATTGATAAGACAATAATGAAAGGGTCATATTCTGGAATAATCCTTCTTGCCACCTAAACTCGCAAATTTAATATAAATAAATACATAAACAAATAAATAAATAAATAAATAAATATCTTTCTCACAAAGCAAAATTAATCGTCCATAACACGGAAACTGCTGCATCGTTCCCGGGTATTTGTATCTAGTCAAATACTTCTTAAAGCCCAAACGAGCCTTTTTGGCTTGGTTCACCGAATCACAGAATTTAGTGATTTGGGTTGGATATCCACTTCCGGCTCTGCTAACTGCTTGCTTGTCCAAAGAAACTGTGTTTGGTCAAATGAAGTAGCAAGAAAACGATGTTACTCGTACGTTAAATTCAACGCACACTAGATAGTAGAGGGAGACTAAATGTCTTCCATCGCGTCGCTCACAAACCTGAGAATTTTGCAAATGACAGGCAAACCTTCCCGCCGAAGGATGAAACAATCTATAATTTTTGGCATAGCACCAATTTCAAGGCCACTTATCATAAGCCCAGCACCTGTCTCACCCTTATTGTTTCACCCTTCTCACCAGAAACGTTCAATCCTGGAGTTTTTCTTAACTGTCTTTCCTAATTTTGCTTCAAAATCGTACCTAACTGAAGTTGATGTTTACTGCTCAGTGTCATCGAAGGCCCCAAGTGGACGTCAACTGACAAACTTAATCAAAACGTTTTACAGTATTATCTAATACAGAATGCTCGTTTGACATGTTCGAATTCTCTTTTGCCCAGCCACCAGTCACATTTGTTGTGGCGCTTAAGATAACGAACTGCGCCTGTGAGAAATAATGGAATAGTCAGCTTTCTTCGTCATGGTGTCATATATGAAGCTCCGGTCAGCACACGTCCTAAAGCGTGCACGTATCGTTCGTTCATTTGAGAAAAGGCAGACGGGGTAACCAAATCATTTCTATTACTTGCCCGATTTGTCCAGTTCTGCCTTATAGCCGCCATATAGTGATATTATTTTGTGAGTAAAATTTAAAAAAA